CAGAATGAGGAGCCAGTCGCCAGGAAGGGGTCCAGATCTCAGGGGGGGTCACGGCACGAGAAAATCACGACGCTTGGAGGTCTTGGCCCAATCCTCATGTCAACGAGCCGTCGCGACGGCAGGCCGTGCTGGAGCAGTATGGGCTCGGGTTGCACACGTGCATTGAAAATCTACCGATCGACTCGGGCATCAGCCAGGACCAGTCCGAGCTTCTCGTGGCCGACACTGGCTCCTTGAAGTGGAGCGACGCAGCCAGGCAGCACCTTCCTCTTCCCTCCCGTTCTTGCTCCTGCGCCCGCGTGCTGGCAGTTCTCAGGAGAAGAGCTTAGCCTGGCAAGGAGCCCAGCCATATGCAGTTGTGAGTACCGCAATGGTGCGTGCCGTCTGAGGTGGAACTCCCTGGAGCAATGCCCGCATGCGGGTTGTGTCGCTGGGGCCTGGGGTGGAGCTCCCTGTGGAATCACGAAACGTATGAGGGGTGTGCCGAAACGGGGGTGGTGCCCACATGCGGGCTGCGCAAAAGGGACCTTGGGCGGAGCTCCCGATGGGGCCACGAACCGTGTGAGGTGTGTGTGTGTGTGTGTGTGTGTGTGTCGAAACGGGGATGGCGCCCACCTGCGGGCTGCGCCAATGGGGGCCCTAGCTGGAGCTCCTTATGCTACCACGAAGCGTGTGAGGGGCGTGCCGAAGCGGGGGTGTCGCCCACATGCGGGCTGTGCCACTGTGGCTTTAGGTGGGGCTCCTTTTGGGGCCACGAAAAGTGTGGGGGGTGTTCCGAAACGGGGGTGGCGCCCACATGCGGGCTGCGCCACTGGCGCCGCATCTGGAGCTCCCAATGGGGCCACGAAGCGTGTGAGTGGTTTGTTGGAACGCGGGTGGCGCCCATCTGCGGGTTGCGCCAATGGAATTTTCGGCGGGGCTCCTTGTATGGCCACGAAACGTGTAAGGGGTGTGCCGAGACGGATGTGGCGCCCACTTTCGGGCTGTCCCAACGGGACTCTAGGCGGAGCTCCTTGTGGGGCCACGAAGCGTGTGAGGGTTGTGCCGAAACGAGTGTGGCGCCCACCTGCGGGATGCCCCAGTGAGACCTTAGGCGGAGCTCCTTGTGGAGCCACGAAACGTGTAAGGTGTGTGTCGAAACACGGATGGCGCCCACCTGCGGGCTGCGCCAATGGGGGCTCTAGGCCAAGCTCCTTATGCTACAGCGAAACGTATGAGGGGCGTGTCGAAATGGGGGTGTCGCCCACATGCGGGCTGCGCCAATGGAACCTTAGGCGGAGCTCCCTGTGGAGCCACGAAGCGTGTGTGGGGTGTCCCGGCACGGTAGTGATGACGATGATGGTGATTGGGACGGCCATGATGTTGATGACGATGCTGATGATGAGAGGAGGATTGGGCAGCGGGAGGAGTTGAACGAACATCCGAGACACATCCAGCTCCCTGCGGCAAGTCCCGCCGCTTTGCCAGTCCAGCATTTTAGGGAGGCCGACTGAGAGAGCCGCGATGACGATTCTGAGAGTGACGGGGGTGATGGCGATGATGATGGTGCTGACGCTGATGATGATGGTTGCGATGATAATGATGGTGATGATGGTGTTGATGATGACAACGACGATGACGAGGATGATGGTGGTGATGATGATGGTGCTCATGATGATTATGACGATGATGAGCGTGATGATGATGATGGTGCCTTTGAAGATGATGATCATCATGATGATGATGCTGATGATGGTGATCTTGTTGATGATGATGATGGTGATGCTGATGCCAGTAATGGTGATGATACTGAAGATTATGATGATGATGATGATCATCATCATGATGATGACGACACTGATGATTATGACGATGATCATGATGATGTTGATGCTGCTGCTTATGGTATTGGTGATGCTTGTGGATGGTGATGATGGTGAGGACGCCGATGCGGATGCTGCTGATTATGCTGATGACGTTGATGCTGATGATGACGACGAGGTCGATGGTGTTGATGACTGCGATGCTGAGGATGATGACGATGATTGCGAAGATGATGATGATGATGATGATGATGATGATGATGATGATGATGATGATGATGATGATGATGATGGTCATGTTGATGATTACGATGACGATGATGTTGATGATGGTGTTGATGATGATGACTGTGGTGCTGATGAAGATGAAGATGATGATGATGATGATGATGATGATGATGATGATGATGATGATGATGATGATGTCTGAGATGATGATGATGCTGATGATTATGACGAGATGAGGGTGTTGATGCTCATGGTGATGACGACCAGGATGATGATACTGATGCTGGCAATCATGGTGACGACTATGAGGCTGATGCTAATTGTGGTGGTGATGATACTGATGACGATGATGATGAGGATGATGATGATGATGATGATGATGATGATGATGATGATGACGAGGATGATGCTGATGAGAATGCTGGTAGTATTGATGGCGATGGTGATGCTGATGGTGTGGCTGATGATGGTGATGCTTGGTGACCATGATGATGATCCTGATCCAGACTACGCTAATGATGCTGATGATGATGATGATGATGATGATGTTAAAGGTGGCGGCGATTACGATGATGCTGATGCTGGTGATGCTGATGATGGTGATGGTGCTGATGTTGATGATGACCGTGGTGGCTACGATGATATGACGATGATGACCATGATGATGATAATGAAACCAAGGATGATGATGATGCTGGTGCGGATGATGGTGGTGCTGAGGATGCTAATGGCGATGATGGTGATGATAATACTGCTGATGGTGATGATTACGATGACGATGATGCTGTTGATGGCAGTGCTGCTAATGAGGATGCTCATTCCGATGATGATGGGGATGGTGATGATGATGCTGATGGTGGTGATGATGATGCTGATGCTGATGATGATGATGCTGCTGATGATTCTGATGGTGGGGGTGATTATGATAATAATGATGACGATGATGATGGTGATGATGATGCTGAGGATGATGATGACGATGGCGATGATGCTGATGATGGTCAGGCTAGTGATTGTGACGCTGATTGTGATGACGATGATGACTATGACGATGATGATGATTATGATGACGATGATGGTGATGGTTCCGAGGATGATGATGATACCCATCACCATCATGGTAATGACGATGGTTCTGATGCTGCAGATGCTGATGCTGAGTATGATGACTATGATGAGGACGTAGACGATGATGCTTATGATGGTGGTGATGATGGTGTGGATGATGATGACGACCATGATGATGATGGTGATGATGATATTGATGATGATCATGACGATGATGATGGTGATGCTGATGATGATGGTCCATGGTGATGATGATGATGATTCTTGTTATGATGATGATGATGATGATGATGGTGATGGTCATGATCATGATGATGCTGCTGATGATGCTGATGCTGTTGATGATGATGGTGCACATGGTGATGATGACTGTGTTGATGATGATGATCATGATGGTGAGGGCGAGGGTGAGCATGAACATGACGATGACGTTGATGCCGATGATGGTGAAGCTGGTGGTGGTGATGATGCTGATGATGCCGATGATGATGCTGATGCTGATGATGATGTTGATGATGATGAGGACGAGGCTGAGGATAATGATGACGATGACTTTGATGCTTATGATGGTGGCGTTGATGATGCTTGCGATGACGATGGTGATGATATTGATGACGTTGAGATGATGACGTTAATCATGATCATGACTATGTTCGTGATGACGATGATGATGCTGGTGCTTGTGATGACGATCTTGTTGTGATGATGTTGTTGATGATTAGAACGAGGATGACGAGGACGATGATGCTGATGATGGTGATGCTGAGGATGATGGTGATGATTTCGATGCAGATGATGATGCTGATGATGCTAATGATGGTGGTGATGATGATCATGATGATAATGACGATGATGATGATGATGATGATGATGATGATGATGATGATGATGATGATGATGATGATGATGATGATGATGATGATGATTCGCCACATGTTGAAAACGGCCCGCATTCGATCCCTGAAGCTCTCGCAAATGTTTGAAGACGGATGCGTGCGGCGCTAAGGCGAGAAACACAGTTTGGAAAACACCTGCCCTCCATTTTTTGAAACTTTTGCCAACTGTGAAGTTTCAGGGTCATCAGTGGTGGGGAAGTCTCAGGCAAAACGCCCGGCCCGCCTTTCCGACTGGCCTCCTGGTGCGACAGGGAGAAGTGTTTATAAGGAAAACGAATGGAGGGAAACGCCGGGCGCTGTCTCTTTAAAACGAGGGCCGAACAGCACACGATGGTTTGGCAAAACGAGCCATCCCCAACCACAGGCTTGAAACCGTCATCTGCTGTATTGTGCAGGTGCATCCCAGGGAGCGGCTGCGCGAGGCGGGGAGGGACCGTGGCGGAGATGATGAGGAAAATGAGGATATGGAGGAGGATGAGGATGATGATCATGACGATGGTGATGGTGATGGTGTTGTCGATGGGACGCTGATGATGACGACGACGATGACGATGATGATGATGGTGATGGTGATGGTGGTGATGGTGATGCTGATGGGGATGATAAAGGTGATCATAAAGATGATGTTGATGATGTGGATGCTGGTGATGGTGATGATGATGATGATTGCAATGGTCATCACGATGACGGACATGATGGTGTTGTGGATGATGGTCATGATGATGATGCTGATGCTGATGCTGATGATGCTGATGATGATGATGATGATCTTGAAGATTGTGATGATGATGATGATGATGATGATGATGATGATGATGATGATGATGATGATGATGATGATGATGGTGATGGTGATGGTGATGGTGATTGTGATGACGATGATGACGATGATGAAGATGAGGAGGATGAGGATGAGGAATGAGGGTGACCGGCGTCGGAAACATCGCGGGTCGACTCGGGCACCAGCCAGGGACCTGCGGTGGTGCATCCTGCGGCCCTCCGCAAGGCTCCTGCGGCCGCGGCCTCGCCCCGGCACGCCGCGGCCTCGCCGGGCACGCCGACCACACCGCCGCACACGCTGCCGGTGGCGGTCTCGCCGCTGGCGGCCGCCCTCGCTGACCAGGCCGCCGCGGAGGAGGCCGATCTTTCCGACGACGTCGTCGTCTGTCTCTTGACGTAGAGTCTGCATGATTGCTCACGGAGCTCAGACGAGAGGTCGGCCGATGTCGGCAAGGTGCGCACGGAGACTCTGGGCCCGTCACGGGTTGTGAGCTCGTCCTTGCCATCGGTCCGCTGGGGAAGAGGAACAACAAACTTTGATTTCCTCGATTTCGATTTCGATTTCGGCCCCTTGGATGACCGTGGTGGTTGCTAAGGGGACTGGGGTGTATGAGTGGATGTGGAATTGGGTGATCTCTGGCCTAGCCTAGCTAGTATGTGGGTTGCAAAAGTGGCGTAAAAAGGGTTGGGCCACTCCGGTGTGTGGGCTCCGCCCGCTTAGCCCAGGTTTTTCCCCCCGGAAGCCGCGTGGGGCCATTGCAATCCACTCGTAAGTTAGGTCAGACCAGATATGACTTCTCTTGGGATCCACTTGACGCCCCCATAACCCCTTAGCAACCGACGCGGACACAAAGAGCGGCCCCCCTCCTTGATATTCGGTCGATGGGATTTTTCAGCACCCCGCATATTCACCTGGTCTCGGGTCGCAGGACCATCGCGGATCGATCTGGCTCGACAAATGGCAACCGAAGATGGGGTTTAGGTCTCTTCTCGTGACTTGTTGCGGTGTTGCCATTTTTCGCAACGGTGGATCCCAGTGGTCATCTGACCCCAGGTGCACAACAAGTTGGTCCATGGCTAGAAGCGGACCCTGGAGAGTGGGTCGGGACCCCCCTGGTGCCTCGCATTGAAAATATGATCAGATCGTTGGATGCCTGGTGAGATCGTCCACGCGCAGAGGGGGGTGGCCGAGGGGGTGGGAGCACCCCTGCTTCTTAGAAGGCGCGGGCCTTGTCTATAGGAGTAGGGCCAGCGCCTTCTAAGGGACGGCCTCCATCTAAGAAGCCTTCCCCCTTGCCCCTGCCCCCTTGAGCGCGCCGCCAATAGACGCTCCTGCAGGCAGGAAGAGACTTAGTGGTGGAAGCAGTCGTAGCAGTTGCAGCAGTACGTCGTGGCTGCACTGATGGTGGTAGCTGTAAACAAATAGTCGTAGTAGTGCGTACCGCCAAGAAGGGGTCCCGACCCAGACTCCCGGCGGACCTTAGCTACCTCGATACGCCCGTTTTGATACGCAACACGTGCCGTGCTCAAAACGTCCGTGTTAACACGTTGCGTGTTGGCTCCACGTGTTAATTGGTCCCCGCTTTGGCGAACATGTCGCGCCAAACCTACAGTCGGAGGTGCCGAAGTGAGGACCACTTCGGGATCGGTGGGGGGAACCCAGGGCCGGACCCAAACGTCGTTCTGCTGGACGTCGGCTGTGCTTTGTTTTTCGCTTGGGCAGGGAGGTGCAGGAGAACAGGTGGAACACAACGACAAGCAAAACGAAACCAGCACGGACAACAACGTTTGGGTCCGGCCCTGGGGGCAAAACGAACACGGCACGAACATAACGAACAACACAACGAACAGCAAAAGGAAAACAACACGGAAAACAATACGGACAACAACGTTTGGGTCCAGCCCTGGGGGAACCCGCTTGTGGCCTTGGCCCGCCGTGGCCGGGAAGAGCTCCTTCTTTCCTCCCGGCAGCGCGCCGACGGTGCGTTCTCAGTCGGGTCGCCAGTCTACGTCCGGCGGCGGGCGCGGGGGGGAAATGAGAAGGGGCGGGACTTCCGAGGCTTCTGAGAAGTTTCTGGACTTCTGAGAGGGCTTCTGAGAAGTTCTGTCTGTATTCGAAAAAGGCCAAGGAAACGTCTCAGAAGCCCCCCGGACTTCTAAGAAGTCCCGCGGAGAAGGCCTTCTCCTTCTCATTTCCCCCCTGGGCTCGTCGCCTATACGTGTTGAGCTCCGTGTCGGCGCGCTAGGTGTTGGGCGTTGCGCATCGACTGTGCGTTCTCAGTCGGGTCGCCAGTCTACGTAGTGAGCTCCATGTCGGCGCGCTAGGTGTTGGGCGTTGCGCATCGACGGTGCGTTCTCAGTCGGGTCGCCAGTCTACGTAGTGAGCTCCGTGTCGGCGCGCTAGGTATTGGGCGTTGCGCATCGACGGTGCGTGCTCAGTCGGGTCGCCAGTCTACGTGCTGAGCTCCGTGTCGGAGCGCTAGGTGCTGGGCGTTGCGCATCGACGGTGCGTTCTCAGTCGGGTCGCCAGTCTACGTGCTGAGCTCCGTGTCGGCGCGCTAGGTGTTGGGCGTTGCGCATCGACTGTGCGCTCTCAGTCGAGTCGCCAGTCTACGTAGTGAGCTCCGTGTCGGCGCGCTACGTGTTGGGCGTTGCGCATCGGGGAGGCCATGTGACCGGGATTCCGGGCGGGCTGATTTCTGCCTCCTCCCCGCCTTGCCCCCGCCCAGTGTCGGGCTCTACTGCAGGGCCGCTCCTGGAGCTGGTCCTGGTGCGGTCCTTCGGAGCGGAGGGTTGTCCCAAGGGGAGGGGGGGGGGGAAGGGGTCGCGGGCTGCTGAAGGTGCCCTGGTCGGATATTGCAGGATCCTGCGGAGCCAGGGGTGCACTGACCCGTGTGAGGGCGCAGGATCCTGCAGGATTTTGCAGGATACTGCACGGCCTGACTGGCTCGGGTTTGGATGGGCCCGGGTCAGTAGATCCACGAGAGCGGGGGGCTGTCCCCAGCGGGGAAGGGGATCGGGGTTGCTGAAGGTACCCCTGGCTCGATGCGCCCCTAGGATATTGCTCCATTTTGGAGCCCCTGGGGTTGGGGGTCTCTATCTAAGCTAGGGGTAAGCTAGGGGTGCAGAAGACGTCCTCAGGGAATCGGATCCTGGAGGTTTGAAATGCCCCCCGGTTCTGGGCTCCTGTGGGTCCCCCTCTGGGCCCCGGAGACCCTCAAGGGACGACTCGGGTCAGCGCCAGCCCGGGGGAGAGCCCCAGGACCTGCTTCTGCCAGGACCCGCCTCCCTGAGGGGCGAAGCCGGTAGACGACCACAGTAGTCGATCCCGCTGTTGGGGGCGCCTGTCTCGGGGCGGCTGGAAAGTCTATGTCGTGCGGAGCGCGACATGGGGGGGGGGGGGGCGATACATGGGGGCAGCGGGGGCTGCAGGAAAGGAGCCCTTTGGGGGGCCCGTGCGTGGCCAGAAGGGGGCCTTGAGGGCCTGAAAAAGGGTACAGCTCTCCCTGCCCCCATGTCACCGCCCCCGTACATTCGCGCCCCAACGTCCCTGCGGCGGCACGCGCGGGCATAAGACCTTCCCGCCGCCCCGGGACGGGCGCCCCCGAGGGCGGAGCAGTTTACTATGCTGTACCGCTCTTCGTCCGCCATACCGCATGCCCTGTATTGAGGTCGCCGCCGCCGCTGCGGCGGCGGTGGCGGCGGCGGCGGCCTCGCCGGCAGCGGCGGCGCCCCGGAGGAGAAAGCACATCGGGGTCAACGATGCAGTCGGACCGAGGCGTCAGATCGAGGTCGGTTCGGGGAGGGTGCCCTGATCTTTTTTCGTGTTTGTTGCATGTTCTTGTGCATCCGGGGGAGGGTACCCTAGGATGTTCTGTGTGTTTTGGCCGGCGGAGGGTCTCATGTTCTTGAAGGACGTTCTGTTGGCCTGGGTCCGATGGTAGCAGTCAGGCAGTGGCGATGTGTGCACATTTAGTCCTGCTCCTCCTCGCCCCTCCTGTTCCCCTCCCCCCTACTCGGTCTTCTCGTGACCTTTGTGCAAAGGGGCGACGCGGCGACGCAGGTCCAGATCCAGTCCCAAAGATGTTCCAAATCTGGCGCGCACCAGGCCCAAGTCGGACAGCACCAGGGGCCACGCAGGTTCCCGTGGAACAGACACCAAACATTTCAGCCGGTGCAGACCCGCTGCGGTACTTCACCTCCATATGTCTGGCCAAACCGATCTGTGATGGCCCCGGGGCCCGACACGGGGCGAAAACGCCCAGCGTAAACATAATGCAACGCCCAGATCTCAGGGCCTTCCCGGCTTCGAGGCGTTGATACGCAATGGGGTGGGGGCGATCAGTGAGGCGAAGGAGAAGGTGCACCCTTCGTGCTTCTGTGCCTCTGGGGCCCACGAGGGGCACGAAAGGTGAACGTCTCTGCGCCCCCCACTACGCAACGCCCAACGCTTCAGGGAGAGGCCCACGGAGCAGCGGCATCGGGCTCCTCCTCCTCCTCCTCCTCTACCCTCCTCCTCGTCCTCCTCCTCCTCCTCCTGTCGCCGCACTGTTTGTTCCCCGACCCGCGGCCTTCCGTCTTGGGGGGCGCGCCTCCGCCACCGGGGCAAGCGCCGCGTCGAGCGCAGAATTTGCCATGGGTTTGCCGCGGTGCCAGCGCCGTCTGCGTGGGCGCGGGGCGCAGGGCTTGCCGTGGCTTTGCCATGGTGTCGGTGTCGTCCTGAGGGGCGCGTCGAGGAACAAACGGCGCATCGGCAGATTCTCTCCTGCGCACAGGTGCCCCTCTGGTCGCCGCCGCACCCGCCGGCCTCGCCGCCGGGCACGGCCGCATCGGGGGCGGCGGCGCCGCTGCCGAGCGCCGCGTGGGGGGCGTCGGCCCACGTGGGCGAGCAGCTGAGGCTCTTGGGGTTCCCAGACCACCAGGTGTCGGGGTCGATGTCTGTTCATGGGAACCTCGGGCGGCGACACGGATACCGGCTTCTCCTGCATGCGAGCCGCACCGTTGACCGCATTCGGCTCTTCCTCCTGCCCGGCCTCCCCTTTCGGTTCCTCGGCCCTTTCCCCGTGCCTCGAGTCTCCCTCGTGAAGGGGCGACTCCGGTCCAACTCTGGTCCCAAATGTGTTCCAAATTTGGTCCGCACCAGGCCCAAATCTGACAGCGCCAGGGGCCACGCAGGCTTCCATGGAACGGACACCAAAGTCGGGCTGCGCGTAAGATCGGAGGCCTACAGCTTGGCACCGTCACCAGCATCGGCGGCGTGTCTCCGTCGATGGAAGATGATCTCGATCTCGGTGATGGTGGTCATACTCGGGCTTCCTAGGTGGCCGAGGCCGAGGGATTACCACCAACACCAGAATCTAGGATCATCTTCCTCTGGTGGACGCACCCCCCGGTGTTGGTGTTGGTGCTCATTTGCACGCGCCCACCAAGAGTGACGCTTTGCGGGAGTGACCTCGGATGCGGGCCAGCAGCCCCCCCCCAGACCCCTCGCGTCGCGAACAAGAGCACCACGGAAAGGTTTTCATTATTGTCGGCCTTCCGGAACCCTTACCTACCAACGGGACTGTCAAAGAACAATTCAGGTCAAAGAGCTGGTCCCTGGGAAGGAATCCTGGCTTGGGGTCCACGTCATGAGAAGATTCACGACGTCAAGGGCCCTGGCCCGGCTTTGGGCTGCGCTCTTGGGTGTGGCCCCAGCCCCCCAGCAGCTCCCAGGACACCGCTCACCAGGGATCGGTCTTGCCTGGTGGCACTCTTGCGTGTAGCCGGAGGTGGTGGAGGCGACGAGGAGATGCAGCACGATCGAGGCCGCAGTCGAGTGGATATTCCGGAGGAGCAGAAGTACAGCCAAGATCTTTACATGAGGCCACTTGGGGCTCGGGAGGTGCTCGGGTGCTCGGGCCGTTCCTCAGAGCGACCGTCTAGGAGATATATGCGTGGCCGAGGCTCGCCTCGCCAGGAAAAGATCCCGTCATTCCTCTTGGCATCGCTCGGACGTGTGCAGTTTTCTCGGCACCTTACGAAACAATACACGCACGAAATCGAAACATGCACAGGGAATGGACGTCCGAGCGACGGCAAGTTCCTTATTCAACGTGCCTTCTGGCCTCGGGGAAGCGTAAGACTCGAGTTTCCCAGAGCTCGGGCTCGCCAGCGCCTTTAGACGGATCCGTCCTGAATGTTTACGGTCCAGTTTTCGTTGGATGTCTGCAGCGGGAGCTCGGGTCGAACTCCAAAGTGGGCCTCGCCAGTTTCCCTGACGACCTCGCCAGGGCAACCCGAGTCTGCCGAACCAGAGTCTCACGTCTCCCCGATGGTAGCACGATGATTGTACACTCGGACCGAGGAATAAGATCGAGGTCGGTTCGGGGACGGTACCCCAGTGTTCTTTGTGTTGGCTGGATGTTTTTGTGCATCCGTGGGGAGGGCACCCTCGGATGTTCTGTGCGTTTTGGCTGGCGGAGGGTCTCACCGTTCTTGGAGGGATGGCCTTCTGGTTTAGGTCCGACTGTATTCTCACAGCCAAGATGCTGGACTACGTGCCATGTTGGTTTCAGCGGGCACCCGGTTTTCGGGCCGTTCCTGAGATGCAGGTCGGGCAATCTGTCCGTGGCCGAGGCTCGACGTGGCCAGAAGAGAGCCCCTTCGTTCCTCACTTGGCGTCCCTCATGGCAGCACGGTAGGTGTATGTATGCTTACGGTCAGACGTGTTGGCTTGGCATGTCGGGCCGCAGGTTTTGGCCCACCACACTTCGGCGCGACACGCTATCCACGTCCCAGTGCCCAAGCGGCAACGTCTCGAGCCTTCCCAGCCTCCCGCCCGGCGGATCGGAAGAAGACGCTATCAGCTCGCAGGGCATAGCGTATCGCCGGGGCCGCCGCCGCGACACGCGAGGCACAATTTCTTGACCGTGCAGTCAAGATGCTGGAATTTGGGCCACCTTGGGCTCAGGAGGGGCTCTGGTATAGGGGGCTCACGAGGGGCTCTAGAAAAGGGGCTCTGGATCGTTGCCGAGGCTTCCTGTGGCCAGAAAAAGCGCCTTCGTTCCTTACGTGCGGTGTTGTTCCTTGTGTCAGCGCCATGGTGGTATGCCGTCTTTCTGCTCCTCCGCGTACGCGAACCCCTCGAGCCCGCTGGAGGAGCAGCTGCTGGCCCTGGGCTTCAGCTACGCCCAGGCCGCCGCCGCGGCGCGGCGCTGCAGCAGCCCGGAGGCGGCCTTGGAGTGGCTCGCAGGGCACCCGGAGGGGGCCACGGACGCGCTGGCCTAGCTAGCAGTGGCTCCCGGGCGCCTCCCCCCCGCCTGCGACGTCTGTTCCTGGTGGTCTTGGGCGGCGACGTTGGACTCAGCTTGTCCTGCACGTGGGCCGCATCTGGGCCGCATTTGGCCCTTCCTCCTGCGTCTCCTAGCCCCTCCTGTTCCTCCTCCCCTCGTCGTCTCGTGTCTCTTGCGAAGGGGTGACCCCTGTTCAAATCTGGCCCCAAATATTTTCCAAGTCCGCTCCAAGTCTGGTCCAAATCCAGCCCCAATCTGACAGCCAACGGGGCCGCGCAGGCTCTCGTGGAACGGGCGCCAAACCCGCCATCTCTCCCTTTCCGGACCTCCCCAAAACTCAGAGGAAGACCAGTTTCCGATACCACTTCTCCTCCTGGAGGACCCTCGTCTTCACGGCTGGATTCTCCCCGAAGTTCTGGTCAGAACGCACCTCGGGAGAGGTCTAGGGAGTA